CTGCAGTGGCTTCTGAGAGCTTCATAGTGTGGTGCTTTAGCCCATTGCACCACCAGGGAGAGCCTGACTTCTATTTTTTTAACCTTAGTCCAAGTTCCCAGCCAACAAGATCATGACAAATTTGGGGGAGGCCCTTTGGTATTCAGACTGCTCTCTACGGAGACTTTCCTGGAAGGAGGCTAAGGGGATCCCTAAGAATGAGCAGCTTCCTGGTCAAATGTGCAGCATGGGGGGATTTTCTGAGCCTAAAACCGTGGGCCTGAGGACCAGCACTTGGACTGGAGAAGCCACTTCCTTCCAAGGCATCCTCCCCCGTGTGGAAGTCATCATCACCCCTCCCCAGTCGGGGAGAGGCCTTCAGACTCCTTATTCCACTGGTGTGCAAAGGGACATGCCGCCCCACCCCAAGTTCTCCCTGCTCCCCTTACACCAAGGCCAATTCAGAGGCACCCTTCCGGGGGGGGGGGGACCCAGGGACCATCTCTGGATGCCTGCTGTCCCCATGGCCCTTTAGGAGCCCTTGGGTCAAGGGTCCTGGCACCCTTCTCAGAAGGGGCAGTGAAACACCCAAATTAAAATCTCCACAAAGGACAGTCACCCTGTCCCAAGTTGTCAAGCTCCTTGCCTTTTCCCGTCACAGGCAAAAATGCCATCTTTCGAGCTGTGGTACATGGCGACCCCAGGCCCCAGGTGCACTGGCACTGTGCCAGGGGGGTCCTCAGCAACTCCAGCAAGTACCAGGTCTCCAGCCCCGGCAGCAAGGAGCACACACTGCAGGTAGGGACCGAGGTCTTCTGGGTCACCCTCCGTGCTTCTTCCCTGTTCCTTGTTCCTTGAAGGGTTCCCCGTGGCCCCGACCCCCTCAGGAGTGAGAGACTAGTTGGAGATGAGCTTGCCAGGTGTCCACCTGGAGACTCCCAGGTAGCTCTGCTGATAACTAGGGAGCCATGCGGACTGGAGCCTAAGAAATGGAGCTTTCTGATGCCTGAGCTACCATCTCGGCCCTGGAAAGATACTTCTCTTTACCTCTGTTCCCACCCTGTAAAAAGGAGTGGTAACAGTACTTACTTTATGGGGTTATTAATGGTATGAAATGCTTCTGCCAAGCGTCTAGCCAGCACCAGTCACACCAAGCTCTCAGCTGTGTCGGTCAGTGTCAGTGACGGTCACAGCCACCATTATGAGCACGACCCTGAGCTAACCCTCTGATGTAGATTAAGTCCCTTATTCTTGTCCATTGGCTGCTTCTTGAGCTGTCATTATCCTCATAAATAAACTAAGGGGCAGAGAAGTTAGGTAATTTGCTCCAGGTTTTACAATCTGTAACACAAATCAGCAATGGTATTCAGCCCCTGAGCCTCCAGAAGCCCCCAGAACAAGCTCTTTCTGCTGCAGAAGGTTGCCCTGATGGCAGAGTTGGCACATCCCCGCTCTGTCCAGATACACGCCTGTCTTTCCTGGCAAGGGCTGTGAGACAAAGATGACTTTACACCCCTGACAAGTGCCTCATAAACAGTTCCACCCTTGGCCTCTCTTCAGATCAACAAGCTGACCGGCGAGGACTCGGGCCTGTACCGCTGCACAGCTACCAACGTGTACGGAGAGGCCGTGTGCACTGCCAGGCTCACTGTTATTGAAGGTGGGCTCCCCTGCTTCTCCCCCAGCCCTGCCTCATCAGTCTCAAGGCCTCAGCCCTGGCCCTCTGCTCAGAGGGATCAGAGGTCGTGCAACTGGGTGGGAGGGTGAGAAGTGGGGGGAGGGCCCTTTATTTACATACCAGTTCCTAAGAATTAAAAAGGAGCGTGCTAGGCAGATGTCGGCTGCTGATCCTTTGAGAGAGTTTTGGCCAGTGGAGCAGTTTCTGCTCCTGGATCTTCTATGAACTTGTCACTGGGCTTTGTTTCCTGCCCTGGGTGTCAGTTTCTCCACCTTAGAGGATGCTTTCACAGGCCAATAGCAGAGCGGGCAGACCTGTAATAGAAAGGGCAGAGAAAGGGCCCTTTCTCTGGCCTTTTGTTTGCTTGTTTCTTTTAAAATCTTTTAAATTGATGACCCTAAATAACTGGAAGGCTGATATCACTTGAGGAAGCAGCTACTTTCAATTGGTTATGCTTTTGCCTATAAGTGAAAGAAAGTCCTACTACGTAGCCCAAGAAATAAAGACACTTCCTGGGTCTCACGGTAAGATGGTGCCCAGGGCTCCATCTATCACTAGAAGCCAGTCTTCCCAATCTGGCTCCATGGACACCCTTTCTCCTCACGGTTGTCAGAGGGTTGCTGCAGGTCCAAACTTTACTCACATTCAAGGCCATGGGGGTTGGGGACACAAAGAAGTTCCCAGCTCCCTCTGCTTCTTTTCTCTAAAAAGCCCCTCTCCCCACCCCCTATCTTCTCAGAAAGTCCCTGGAGACTCCTGCTTCCCTTGGCCTCCTAGTTGCAGGGAATGTGGGAAGACAGGTTTAGCCTTTCCAGCTTCTCTAGTGGAAGTAGGTGATGAAGACAATGTGGAATGTTTGCGGGGTCAAATGGCCGTGCCTGCCACATTTGGCTCTATGTGGCCTGGACCCTGAAATGGAGTAAAATAGCAGCTGTCCCCACAGGAGTGGTTCTGGCTGTGGGGGTGGCCTCCTCCCTCACTTGTGCCACCTCCCTGGCCCCATGGACATGTGTGGGGCCTCCCCTGTAGGAGATGGAGCCTCCTTCATGCTAAGGTTCTCAGCAGCAAAGCTTTGGATGGTGAAACACCAATTCCACCCCTTTTTGCTCAACCACCTTGTGGGGCTACCTTAGAGGAGAGGGGAGGTCAGGGCCCCCCATGCAGACTGTTTCCCAGGGGACCATTTTCCCTGCCTGTCCACATTAACCCCTTCATCTCCCCCCTGATGGTGCAGTTGGCTTTCGGAAGACTTGGAAGAAGCACAAGGAACCCCAGGAAGGTAGGTGATCTTTGGTGAATGTGCTACGCCTTGCCTGGCTCTCTCCATTAGGCCAGCTCTTCCTGCCCCCTCCCTCCCCCCAATAATACCTCAGGAATCCTCGCAGGCCAGCGGAGTCACCTCTGGAGAGTCCACTATCAGCTACAATCCTCGGGGCATCTCCCACCCCCACACATTCCTTCCAAGACAGAAGGCCTGCATGAGCCCCTGGGAACCCCACTCTGGCACTGGGGCCTCAGTCCTGCTCCTTTTCTAGATCTCAGGAAGTCGCTGATAGACTTTCGGAAGATGTTGAAAAAAAGGTGGGTCTGGGACTGTCAGAGGTGGGGTGGGGGAGGAGGCTGGAGGCGCCCATGGTCCTTGTCTCCCGCTACTTCCACAAGAGCTGGGCAGGGCCCTGCGGGTCCCTTCAGCACACGGGGAAGCCAGGCTGCAGGCAGGAGTGTGAGGTGGGGAAGAGCGTAGACCCGGCTCTAAGTCTTCTAAGTTCCATAACCTTGAACTAAGCATCGCTCTTGTCTGGGTCCCCGTCTACGTGTCTACAAAATGAGGTGCCTGGCTAGAACAGTGATTAAGACATTTTTTAATCAGTCCTGTAAATTGAAAAAAATCTCACTGGCCTTATTGAATGATTCGTGAATTGGGTAGCATCACACTAGCAGGGAGAAGGCTCTACCTGAAAATAATGTTTGGCACCCGCGGGATCCTCCCCTTCCTGACTAAAGACAATTTGGCCTGAAGCCCACTGGAGCAAAGACTTCTCCTTGAGAGCTAAAGCCGTGTGGCAAGGCAGAAGCAGCCCTCCCTGGGTCCTCCCTGTCCCCACTGGCCAGCACCACATCCCAGGCTCTGCCTCCTTCCCTCGCGGCACAGGGGATTGCCCCAGGGCCTCTTGGGGTGCCAAAACCAGCTCCTGGGGCTCCCCGGGCTTCTGACCTATACAGCCCCTGTTCCCCAGGGCCCCGCCCCCTGCCCCAGAGAAAAAGATGAACTCTGAGCAGGTGTGGCAGCTGCTGATGGCTGCGGACCGGAAAGACTATGAACAGATCTGCCTGCGGTATGGCATCGTGGACTTCCGGGGCCTTCTGCGTAGGCTGTGTGAGATGCGCCGTGAGCAGGTGGACACCGCTGCGCAGGTAACCTCGTGCCCCGCAGCCCTGGCACCTGGCCCCCGTGGGTGGGGGGGGGCGGCCCTGTGTTGGGGCGGCCCAGGGTGGCCAGGCCCAGGGTGTGGTGGATCTGGAATCCCAGGTCAGTATCCATCTCAGGACCCAGTTTCCAAGGGACGACCTGGAGCTGCTCTGACATACACTCAACTCTAGGACTTTGGCAAAGCTGGAGCCTCTTGGTTTCCTGATTTGTAAACTGAGGCTCAGGTGCTACTTACCTCGCAGGGTTATTGAGACAAGGAATGAGGGAATGAACTTAAAGCTCCCAGTGCAGTGGCTGACATTTAGCAAGGGCTCAGTCAGCTGGGTCACCACCATCATTGTTGTCACCACTGTCACCTCCATCCTCATCCACACTGTCATCACACACTGTCATCAGCACCAGCGCTGGGTGCCTGGCTTGTTTTCAAAGGCTGCAGGGGACAGGACAGTCTCGCTCCCATTAGCGTTTTTACCCAGAGTCCTATAAACTGGGCAGTAAGTTCTTTCCTGTGTCTAACCTTATCTTTGGTTTTTCTTCTGGACACACAAAGTGGCTAATTTTCAACATGCTAGAAGTAGATTTCCGCACAGCGAGTTGGCTCATCAGACCTCCCACATGGGGATCAGGTTTTCTCCCCTGCTCTGACACAGCAGCCGGGCACGCACAGGGGTGCTCTGCTTTCTACTGGCGGGGGGGAGCAGTGATCAGTAAAGACCCCTTGCATGTCCTCAGAGCACCTGGACACCTGGGGTCCCTTCTTGCTTGCCTGCCTGACCTGCTGTCTCTTGTTGGAGTTCCTTTTTTAGAGGGCTTAAGTCACTCATTTTTAAAGTGCTCCCTGGGATATCGGGGGCCTGGGGTATCGGGGACCTGGGGCCTGGATGGGGGTGTCAGATGGCTTTTCAGAGACTCCCCAGTGAGCCCCCCAATAGATTTCTTGTCCCCAGTACGTCAACACTGTCTCCAACTTGAGACACCTCAAGGTCACCAAGGAGGGCGTTGCGATATTTGACCTAGAGCTGGACATCAAGGATCCTGAAAACAAGGTTTACCTGTATAAGGTGAGGCAGGTGGGGCTGCTGGGGAGGATCTGGTGGAAACACCTCGGGTCTGGGAGGAGCTGTGGGCCCATGGGACCCCTGTGGGAACAACCAGAGTTTGCAGCATCTTCTGTAATTCCTGGGTGGAGTGAAGTCACCCCCCACTCCCAAGACATTCCACAGAGACCTCTAGCTCTTACTGAGCAACCAGGCTCTCCAGCAAAGCCTGGAGGCAGAAAGAGTGTTCTGAGAAGATGTACCCCAGCCCCTCTGAGCTCTCTCTGCAGAGATGTGACAAATCCTTGGGCTCCAGGAGTGGGAGAGGGGCCGGGGCAGGTGTAGGGGCCACAGTCTTATCCTGGGTCTGCCGTTTACTGGCTGTGTGACCTCAGGCAAGAGCTTAGCTCCTTGGTGCCTCTGTTTCCTTACTTGGGAAACGAGGCTATTAGAGCTGTCCCCTGGCTTACAGAAATGATCAGTGCGATGGTACATGAGCTGCCCTCCCTTCACCTCTGCTTCTGCCCGCCGCCCTTCCCAGTCCCTCGATCCTGCCCCTCCCACCCCCAGCCTAAATCTCTCTGTTCCCTTGCTATCCACAAGGATGGCTCACTCCCCCCCACCCCTACCCAACTCCCCCTGAGACCCCCTCGAACACCCCGTGGAGATACTCTATCCCCCAGCCCATCCCACACTCAGGAACTCTGATCTTCTCTCCCTCTCCTTTTCCCCTAGTTCTAGTCCTTTCTAACAGTATACTTACATGTACACTATTGTCTACTTAGGGTGCCGATTATTTGTCATCTCTCCATAGACTTTGAGCTCCCTGAGGGCAGGAGTCTGTCTTATTCACTCATGTGTCCCCAGTACCAGGCACACAGTGGGCGGGGTCATGGTGACTATTCGGCCAGCAGAAAATGTGGTTAGTGTAAGTGGCCGGTGTCTCCATCACTGGGCTTTGAAGCTCCACAGAGCTCAGACAGGACCCTAGTTCCTCTAAATGAATGTGCCGGAGCCTCCAGACCATCAGTGTGCACCCCCTCCCTGCAAGCCTGGCATAGCGACTGGCTAGTTCTACTCTGCTTTTCGATATATGGCCCCCCAGGCGCCTCTTGCATAACCCTTGGCGATGACTGACCTCTTGAGCATCAAGGACAGCCCTCGAGCCTTCACCTGCCTCCACCCCTCACTCCAGTTCCCGTCCTCCGATCTGGCTCCCTCCCCACTGTAACCCCACCTGCCCCCTCATCAACATATGTTCTGGTGCCTGGGCCAGTGGGGGAAATGTGCTGGGGAGCTGCTGAGACCCTGGACCCCCTCTTCCTTTTCTGGTCTCAGGATGGCAAGATGATCCCCTACGGCTCAGACAACCAGACCAAGCACTGTCTGCGGCGGCTGGGGAAATGCTACCACTTCCAGGTCCGGGACCTGCAGCCTGAGGATGCCGGCATTTACCAGGTCAAGGTGGAGGGGGCTGAGGTCTTCTCCACAAAACTAGATGCTGCTGGTGCGTGGGCTTCCCTGCCAAAGTTTGAGGGTGCGGGGCCTGGGGGGGTGCCATGTGGGTGTCACACGTAGGGTGAAGATTAATGTGACGTGGCCCCCGTGGCAAAGACAGTCGGGGAGAAGGATGCACACCCTTTGGTCTCTTTGTCCAAAAGCCTTAGTCCAAGGCCTGGGAGATCTGGGCTGAGTCGGTCTCTGCTGTGTGTCAGTCACAGACAAACATGGCACCTGCCAATCTGGTCACAGGCCTTTACAGCCAGCGACATTTTCAGATCATATCCAAACTGAGTTCACAGCCTCCCGCTGGCCCTTGCTCTTTTCTGATGTAGCCCACACACCAGCATCTCTGACACACTCCTGTGCCCCCCTGGGATGCTGCTCCAGGACGGCCCCTCCTCCCTCTTCCCCTACCACATCACCCGAGCACTTGCCAGCTCAGAGGGGCTTTGGGGGGGGAAGGGGGGCCCTGAAGAGGGAGCTACAGATGGGTAACTCAGAAAGAGCAATCAGGTTGGGCCGATCAAGCTGAAGATGCAGGAAGGGGGAGGTGTCCAGAGACTTGTCCTGCTGGTGGGGGTTGGAAGGGCCCAGGTGACGAAGGTGACCCCTCCAAGGGTCACAGGAGTTTGTGGCTGAGCTCATGTGAACCTGGGGTCTCCCGCCCCACTTGGTCAGACTGTCACACTGACGCCCCCTCCTGCTTCCCGGCAGCCATCCCCCCCAGAGTGCTGGTCCCGCTGGCTGAGGCCCACTGTGAGGAGCAGGGCGAAGCTGCCTTCGAGTGCACCCTCTCCAGCCCATGCCCCAACGCAACCTGGCATTTCCAGCATCTGCCACTCCAGCCCAGCCCCAAATATAAAGTGTTCGTTTCTCCCGATGGGCTGACCCACCGCCTGGTGGTGAGGGGTGCCAGCCTCTCAGACATGGGCCTGTATTCACTGGGCACTGGGCTCCACACATCCAGTGCCTGGCTGGTGGTTGAAGGTGAGTGCTTTTCTCCTCTCCCTCCCCACCTCCACCCAAGCAAGGCTTCAGAGCCAGGGAGGGCCTGAGGAGGTCAGGGGCAATGAGGCAAACTTGGTGGCTCCCCTACTCTCAGGGAACAGGATGGGCCCCTCAGACCTGTCCTTGACCCACTAGGTGCAGTCTTTTCCCGCCATCCCAGACCTCTGGAGCTGTGTCTTCATGGGCCTCTGGAATTACTCTCAAGCCACTGATCCCTGTTGGCTCTGGGGCCAGTTCATGGATGAGATAACCTTGAGCCAGACCAAAGAGCATCCTTAAACCCCTGTAAGGCTTTGAGTTGAAGGTGATCCCAGGAAACTAATTTGGATACTCATAAGGAAGGCAGAGAGCAAGGAGACCTTTAGAAAACATGCAGCTCTTCATTGGAGTTCGATAAGGAAGTGTCTGTGGCTCACAGACCTCAGGGACTGTGTGGCAGGATGGTGTGCCCTTGAGTGTAGGCCTGGAGGAGGTGGTGATGGGACTTATCCAGAATGAGGCAGCACATTCTGGCTTCCGATGGCCCTGGGGGAAGCTGGGGCAGACAAACACCCTGACCTGACTTCGTGGATCTTTCCTCTTTCTCTCTATGGGGTGTTGGCCTCTTACCCAAGCTGGGAAGGATACAGGTCTTCTTACTACAAAAGCTGACCACCAGCTGCTGGCACAAGGAGCCCAAGCCTCAGAAGCAGAAGATTCCAGGCACGTCAGTGGCAAGGGAGGGAAGCGCAGACAGCAGGGATCCAGGGGGGGCTCCCTTGGAGGAGTGGGACCCCAGCTCGTAGCCAGCCCAGCCAGAAGTGGCCTTGGTGAGCATGGCTGCTCCATGGTGGGGAGAGAAGGGGCAGCTGACTCAGCCTGTGGGCCTGGGAAGATGGGCAAGAGCCTTCTGGAAGCCAAGGGAGACAGAACCACTCTCTCTGGGAGAAATCAGCCCCACACAGAGGGAGCTTCCCTATCAGGGAGGCCCCAGCCACAAGAAGTGGGCCTGGAACCAGGGCTGGGTCTCATGGGAGGGCGGCAGCAAGATCACAGCAGAGACAGAGATGAGGACAGTTGGGGGGGCATAGCAGAAGGCTGGGAGGCCAGGTCCGTGCCCCCTCAGACTGCAGGACTGGGGAGCAACAGCAAAGAAAAGAGGTACAGAGAGGACAGTGGGAGTCAGCCAGATGGACAAGACCAAGAACCTCTCTGGGGTGCTTGCTTGGCACCCGGGATAGAAAACAGGGCCCTGCAGGGACCCCAGTCTAGTTCTGTGGTGTCTTGGTCAGAAGGAGAAGGGATGGGGAAGATTTTGCAGGAGGAGCGCCTGAGAGAGGTAAAGGAGGGTGACGGTCCAAGCAGAGGAGCTAGAGGACCGGGGGGGCTGGGTGGGGCCGCTGTATGGGCCCCCGGGAAGCTGGAGACAGCAAGGGAGCAGGAGGACCTGGTGCCCCAGAGTCTCCTGGGGGAAGAGGCCCTGACTGCAGGGCCAGCGTGGGCCCTGGCTGCTGGGGCCCCATGGGAGGCAGTGATGCTGACTGTGGGGAGACAAGGGACACAGGGGAGTCTCTAGACCAGGGGTCTACAGGCCAGGACTTGCAGACATCCAGTGGCAGAACATTTCTCCTGGAGCAAGGGTGTCCCAAGGCTCAAGGTTTGCTGCAGGAGGCAGATACTCAAGGTCTAGGGGAGTCTGGAACTGAGAAAAGTGGCGACAAAACTAGCCCTGGAGGCCCAGGAGGTCCTATGGGCCATGAGGGAAGCACACCGGGGCTCAGAGGAATGGAGGGCCGGGATACAACAGGGGCATTGGGCCAGGCAGGGGCTGAGTCTGGAAGCCTCCAGCAGCAGCCCCAAGGCCAGAGCGCAGGCCAGAGGGGAGCAGGCGGCCCTGGCAGAGCGGAGTCTGAGAGCACAGGTCCCTGGCATCACACAGAGCCCAGGCTCAGCAAGGCTGGGGCCCATCAGGAGCCTGGGGTGCTGGGGTCTGGTGGAGGGAAAGGAGGTGTGGGCAACACCCTGGTAGCTGGGCTGATGGAGTCTGATCTGAGGGTGGATGCAGGAAGCCACAGGCTACTTGCGTCTCCTAGCCTGGGTGCTCAGGGGCCTCAGGGGACACGAGGAGACACGGGTGGATTAAGAGGTCCAGGGGCAAAGGACTCTGAACCTGATTTCTGGGCTGGGTCATGGACCGCCAGAGCGAAGGGACGCAGGGGTGAGCTGGGCCCTGAGACTGGCGTAGGCAGCCCAGGAGGGAGAGAATCTAAGCATGGCCAGAGAGTCGGGTGTTCTGGAGGAACAGGTCCTGAAAATGGGGCTGGGCTGGCAGGAGAGACAGGATCTAGCCATGGTGCTGGTGGTAGCATCGCTTCTGTGGCACCTGGGGGAGCAGAATCTGCAGGAGGGGGTGCCCACAGGCAGGGCTCATGGGCGCTGGGGGGAATATGGTCTAGGAACAAAGACCACATTTTGGGGTTTGGTCCTGCAAGAAAGGACTTGGGGAGATTTGCTAGTCCTGAGAATGGCGCAGGTGGCCCTGGTGGGGTGCTCCTGGGTGAAGCCAAGAAGCACCAGGGTGCATCCAGAGGCTACAGCGATGCCAGCCCTGGGGGGTGCTGCACTTCCACCCGCGCCCTAGGGGCTTCTGGGGCAGCGGGGGGTGGACATAGAGGTGTCTCCAGTACCTCTGCAACAGTGGGAACTGATGGGGGTGGACATGGGGGAGCAGAACTGGAGGTTCCTATAGAAACAAGGCCTTGGGGTCAGGCTGGAGCTAATGGAGGCTCCAGAACTGCAGGGACTCTGGGGCCCATGGAAGAAGGAGGCCCAGAAGATGGCTCTGGGGGCCCAGAGGCTGAGGAGCCAGGTTCCCTGATGGCAGAAGGTCAGGGGGGAGATGAGGGAGGGACTAGCAGCCTTGGTGCCAGAACCTCTGGAGCCGCAGCTGGCTCTGGGGATGGGGCCAGGCACTCCGAGACACTTGCTCCTCACACCTGGGCTGGTTCTGAGAGCCAGTGGCCTTTTGGGTCTGGCATGGTGCTGGGTGGTGAGGATGGAGCAGCAATCCCAGGGTCTTTGCAAACTAGAGCCAAAACAGCTTACAGAGGAGGGTCAAGGAGTCTTGGGTCTGGGGTTCCGGGGCCAAGGGGTGAGGCAGTCTTTAGAAAGGGTTCAGAGGGCTTTGGTGGAATGGGGTTAGGGGCTGAGGCAGGTTATAGAAATGGTATTGGGGGTTCTGGGAGAAAGGGGTCAGGGGGTGAGGCAGGGCATTTGAGTTGTTTAGGGGGTTTCGAGGGAATCAGTTCAGAGGGTGAGGCAGGTCATTGGAGTGGCTTGGGGGATCCTGGAACAGTCAGCTCAGGGGGTGAGGCAGGTCATCAGGGTGGTTTAGGGGGTCCTGAGGGAATGGGTTCAGGTGGTGAGGCAGGTCATTGGGGTGGCTTGGGGGATCCTGGGAGAACTGGGTCAGGGGGTGAGACAGGTCATTGGGGTGGCTTTGCAGATCCTGGGACAATTAGGTCAGGGGGTGAGGAAGGTCATCAGAGAGGCTTAGGGGGTCCTGGGAGGACTCCATTAGGGAGTGAGGCAGTCCACAGGGGTGTTTGGGAGGGCACTAGGGGGGTGGAGTCAGGGAGTGGGACAGGCTATAGGAAAGGCTCGGAAACACCTGGGGAAACAAGGCCAGACAGGCAGGTGAGTCTTAGAGACAGTTCGGGGGTGTTTGGAGCAGCAGGCTCACTGGCTGGCGTGAGATTTAAGGGGATACCTGGTGGTCATGAAACCGCGGAGCAGATGTCAGGATGCAGGGCCACGTCAGCAGAGACTCACGGTGCCTCAGGCGCCGAGCGTGGTCCAGAGAGGAGCAGAGGAGCGGGCCTGGGGAAGGGGTCAGGTGCTGGGGTGGGCCCTGACCTAGACGCAACGCTGGCCACTGCAGATGGCCCAACACATGGGGCCAGCCCCAGGGGCTCGGGGGTGCTGGGGTCTCAGGGAGAACAGTGCCTTTCAGATGGGCAGGGCTCCAAGAATGGTCTTGCAGGTTCTGGACTCTCAGGAATCCCTGAGGAGTTGGGGGCCATTGGGTCTAAAGGAAAAGCAGACACCAGAGAGCAGCAAGATGGCTCCAGGGTCCCCCGGTCTCCTGGAGACAGAAAGCCGCCCAGGAGGGAGCGGTGGTATGCAGAACAAGCAGGGGTTGTGCAGGCTTCTGGGCTTCTTCGTGGCAGGAGGGCTGTGGAGGAACAGGCCTGGCTGGAGACAGCCCTGCAGCATGGGCATGAGCAGAGCTGGAAATTGGCTCCTGGGATGGCAGAGAGCCCCAGAGATCTGGGCTCGGGGGGATCAGCACCTCTGAGCTGGGGGGACTCACTGCTGGGAGGAGGCAGCCTGGGAGCAGGAGGCGGGTGCACAGCAGGGGCAGGTCAGTCTCTGGACAGCAGTAGCGTACTCAGAGGAAGGGGCATGTGGCCCTTAGGGTCTACTGATGGGCCAGGGCTAACCCATGCTTGGGCCCCAGACGGTGTAGGAGGTGGGGACCCACCCACAAGCTCCAGGGCTTCCTGTTCTCTGCAGGTGAAAGACAGCATTTTCAGGGGAGCTCACGTGGAGTCAGGGGGTTCAAGGGAGCCAGGAAGGTGCTCAGACCAAGAAATGGGTGGGTGTCAAGCCTCCTGGGACCTGGGGAGCAAAGACTCAGGACCTGGAAGGGGCAGGTTTAGTGGCCCAGGGGACTCAGATGTCCTGGATAATGGGACTTCTACTGACAGCGGGAATGGCCTCACCCCAGAACTTGGGGATTCAGGACCTCAGGGAGCCTGGGAAGGCCTAGATGGCCCCTTTGGAAGAGAAGACCTTGGAGGCAGATCAGGCTTGGGCTCTCAGTTAGGTAAAGGACAGGGAGGAAGAAAAGGAGTGCTGGGGGCTAAGAAAGATAAGACCCAAGATCTGGGGACCCTAACGGAGAACGAGGGAGGGAAGGCAGAGTCTGACAGGTCAGACAGGAGGCCCGGCCCACTTAGGAACCGGTATCAAACACAGACAGAGGCCGAGGTTGGAGCAACAAGGAGAGGGGGCGCAGTTGAGGCCAGAGGCATGGGGCAGCCGCCAGCAGAAGGGAACAGAGGGCCCCTGGAGGAGGCCCCTCATGAAGGCCAGAGTGGGGTGCCCCGGAGTGGTCTAGGCAGCAGGAGAGGGAGCAAAGGGGACAGGTTGGGGGTCTACAGCGAGGGGAGGAATGCCGCCCAGCTTCCCAGATCCAGACGCCAGCCTGACACTCACCGATTCTCCAAGGAGGTCCCAGGTAGGTATTTTTCAGCGGGGCTGGCTCCCTGGAAACGGGAGTGCCTCAGTGAGTCGGTCCCAATTCTGCCTCCAGTCCAAGAGTTTTTCTCTGCCTGGGCCCCCCATTTTCAGGGATTCTTCCCAGCTCAGGAAGCAATCTCTTCCCTCTTGAGCAGGTGGGGTGCAGGCTGCAGCCCTCAGAAGTCTCCTGGGCATCAGCCTTGACACCCTAGGTCCAAAGCACTGGACTTAGGATGGCTGTTGACTGCGTGTGGGTCACCCAGACTTCCCTTTAAGCCCCCAACCCACCTAGACCCTGCAGGTCCCTGTGATCTCTTGGCTCTGTGAGAAGAATGAGCGGTGTGGCTTTACTGGCAGTGGCTGAGTGTGCTGTTCTCCTGGGCACAGTGTAGGCCCCGGCTGGGGGGTGTGGCCTTGGGGAGTCTCTAGATGACAAGCTCCCAGTCCCCTCCGTGCCTGTCCAGCCCCCACAGGCCACTTCTCCCAGGGCCTAACAGACATGGAAGTACAGCAGGGGGAGCCCACTCAGCTCTCCTGCACCTTCACCAGTGACCTGGGGCCTGGAGCTCGGCTTAAGGATGGAGTCAAGGTACCACCCCCACCCTGCATCTTGGGAATGGAGAGGAACAGGGGTAAAGCAGAGCAGAGGGGAGTCTTTGCAAGAAAGATTCTTCATTTTACCAATATGCCCACCCTGGAAGGAGTTTAAAGAGCCAACATGGCGTGTTTACAATAAAAGTGGATCCGTATCCCGTCCATTTCCCACCTCGGTGTGTCCCTGGCCCTCCTTCCACCATCCCAGATGCCTTTCCTGTCTCAGCCCCTGCTGATTTCTCCCACCCTACTACCCTCAGTCCGTGCCATCTCAGCCAAGCACACAGGCCCTCTCGCCCCCTCAACCGTCCTCTGCCTCACTCTAGCTGTTGGCTCAGAGGAAGGATGTCCCAGTGGTTTGGGACACAGGCCTGAGCATCCACTGGTGTCAGGCGCCACCTCTGCCACGTACCCCTGTGCGGCCTCTGGCTTCCTCATCTATGACATGGGCTCTCCACAGCACCTGCCTCAGGCAGCGATGACAGTTAAATGAGCTGCTGGCTCCGGGGCTGAGCGAGCGCTCGCTGCCACACTGAGGTGCCCTCCCGCTGCTATTGCACTCTGCAACGGAGCTGCAGTTGCACTCTGAAGGGCCTGCTTAGCTAGCCGGGTCAGGGAGGGGCAGGGTGGGCCCGGGGGGTGGCTGGGGGGATGACTGGGCCTGCTTCGGCCTTGTTTCCAGCTCAGTGCCCAGGAGGGAATCTCCGAGCAAGACGGTCCCAGGAGCAGGCTCCGCAGTGCCGGTGTGCAGGGGGCCCAGCCCGGGAGGCCCACCTGTGTAGCCGGAGACCAGCAGAGTGAGGCCACCCCGACCGGCCCTGGTGAGGCCCGCCCTGCCCTTCCCTCCAGCAGTCGTTCATCAGGGTTCTGCTCTGCTTAACACCCACATGGCAGGCTGCTCTGCCGCCAGTGGCTGATCTCACCTCAATCTGAGATGATTTCAAAAAGCCAGCCCACCCCTCCCTATTCAGTGTCCAGAAGTCCCCACTTTGTCCCTCCTGCTGCAGATGGAACCTGTCCTTGCCTCTCGTAGCTCTCATGAGGTGGGCAAAGGGATCTTTACCCCAGCCCAAACTTCCTCCTCTAGAACCTTCTTTCCTTACCCTGGGCCTCCTTTGACTCCTTTGCCCTGTATCCTGTATACCCCTAGACCCCACTGTCCTTGCTGCAGAGGTGACAGAGAAGCTGGAAAAACCACTGGTGGTCAAGGCTGGGCAGCTGGCAACAGTGAAGATCCCCTTCCAGAGTCATCTCCCTGTTCAGGCTGTGTGCAGAAAAGATGGGACCCAGGTGGTCGGCAGCAGCAGGGGGGCCCAGGTGACCCTCGGGGACAGCTTCACTCAGCTGGGCCTCCCCAGCACCAGCAGGAAGGACCGTGGCCAGGACAGCGTGGCACTGAGCAACGAAGGAGGCTCTGCGCTGGCCCAGCTCACCCTGCAAGTCCTAGGTGCCCTGGAAGTACCCCCCAACACTCCCCAGTAGGCCTTCCCAGCCAGGCTCCATCTTTATCTGCATGCTGTCACAAGTCCCCCTCCCTCCCTTCCTCAGCTTGGCTTGGAAGAAACATCTAGATAAGTGAAGGGAGGCGTCCCGCAGGGAGGAGGGGCTGGCTGTGCTTCTGTGAAGAGAAGGCTGGGTGGGGGTCCAGGTAGGACCGGCCCGTGCCAGCCCCAGGGTGGTGGGCACCAGTCAGGATGGTGCAGTCACGTCACATCCTGGTGGCAGGCTGCTGAGAGGAGATGTCCAGCACCACCCACCCCTGCTCCTCTAATGCCCCTTTTCTCCCCTCTTGGTGGGTCCCCAGACCGGCCCCAGCCCCCACAGGGTCCCCCGGAGCTGCAGGACTGCCAGGGGGCCGGGGTCTGCCTCCACTGGCGGCCTCCCCAGGATGACGGGGGCCGGGCGGTCCAGCACTACGTGGTGGAGAGGCGGCAGGCGGGCAGGAGCGCATGGCGGAGGGTGGGCGAGCCCCCTGCAGACAGCACCAGCTTCACGGATGCCCGCGTGGAGCGGGGCAGGAAGTATGCTTTCCGTGTGCGGGCGGTGAGCGCCGAGGGGGCCGGGGAGGCCCTGGAGTCTGAGGAGGTGCTGGTGGCTCCTGAGGGTGAGTGGGTAAGCGGGGTTGGGGTACGAACACTCCTGGGTTCCCCACTGTGTCCAGAAGCTGGGGACACCAATAGTGGCCAGGGGCTTGAGGTCCTTCTAGGGTGTGATGGAGATGGCTTATCTCGGCTTCCTAGTTAGGCAGCGCCCCGGGGACCCAGCCGTACCACATCACAGAGTACCTGACTGAGAAGCGCCAGTGGGGTAGCAATACCTGGACGGCAGTGAACAAGCAGCCTGTGCCTCGGCTTCCAGAAGAGGAGGCAGGGCTGATGGGGTCTCGGGGTGGGGGGGCAGGCAGTGTCCTCAGGACCCCGAGCGGGACTGGCACTGTTCCCATATCTGTCCCCAATGTGCAACATCTTGCAGGCATGCCCGGCATGGCTCTGCTCCTAGAGAATAAGAGCTTCTCTGGTCTCCTACCATTCCTGCCCAAGGCAGCCAGAACAGGGCCCCAAAACAGGTGGCTCAGCACCCCATCCCTGACACGCCCCAGGGAAAGAGAGTGTGGCCCCACTTCTCCCGCGAGACCTCCTGGGAGCTGGCACCTTGCCGCAGCCACTGACTGACCAGCACCTCCTCTGCCACAGCTGCCCCCGGGCTCCCTTCCACCCCAGCCACCCTGTCGGCCTCCAGCCAGGGCACTGCCCTGACCTGGGCAGCGCCCCGGGGACCGAGCCGTGCCCACATCACAGAGTACCTGACTGAGAAGCGCCAGCGGGGTAGCAATACCTGGACAGCAGTGAACAAGCAGCCTGTGCCTGGTGAGCATCCCAGCAAGGCTCCCCATTGTCTGAACCCCAAAACCAGACCCACTCCGTTCCCCCCACCAACTGCAGGATCCTGTGGCCTCATCCTGCCAGATGGGTCCCACCCAGGAGGTTTCGCTCCTGGAGGACACATGGTGACATCTGGAGACATTGTTGCTTGCCACTGTAACTAAAGGGGGACACATGTCATGTGCCAAGGTCAGAGATGCTGCTCCACACCCTGCACCAAGCCACACACAGGTAGCACCCCGCACCCCCCACCACCTCCCCACATGAAGAATTATCGGCTAAAAATGTCCAAAGTGCTGAGGCTGAGGAATCCTGGCCTCATACCAGTTTCAGGTCGGGCCCCTCTTCACCTGGCCTTGACTTCAGACACCCCCCTTCACTTCTCTAGATCTCAGTTGTCTTCCTTATCCATTAAGTGGGGAGAAGCCCCCTACTCCAAATTGTTACCAAGAAACTGCTTTCTCAGATCAGAGAGAGCTCAGGAAAGCCCAGTCTGGGTTTCACAGGGGGGAGACAGGGCTTGGGGTGCTCAGCCCACCATGGGGGGGCCAACTCTCGGGAGCCAGGGTATCTAACCAGGGCTGTGCTGCTAGGGGCTGAGCCCTCATGGCCTCAGTTTCCCCTTCTCTGGAAAGGGGGAGATGAATCAGGAGCATTCTTTCAACACCACGACCTAGTACTTCCATTTTTTTCTTTTTTTTTTTTTAAAAAAAAAAAAAACAATAACCCTGCAAGGCCAAGAAAACCAGAGCACTCGGGGGGTTCATGGCAGAACTGGCAGGGGCTTCTGGGGCCCTGACAGTCCACAAAGAGCCCTTTCCCCCTGGAGGAGACCTGGCAGACTAAGGGGAGATGGCTATGTCAGGGCAAGGTCTGTCTCCCTAAGGCCTGGTCCCATGGGTGGAATTAATGTGTGTGTGGGGGCTTCTCACAGACAGGAGGTGGACCGTGATGGACATATGGCAGGGCTGCCAGTATGAGTTCCGCATCATGGCCGTGACTCTCTCTGGTCCAGGAGCACCTGGGCCCCCATCAGATGCCATCTTTGCTCGGGACCCTGTGAGTAAGTGGAGCAAGCCCTCAGATGTGGTGTAGGAAGCTCCGGCGCCCTTGGGCAGAGGGCAGAGGGCAGAGGGCAGAGGTGCTGGGCCTTCCCGAAGGAAATAGTTAGGAGGACTAAAGATGAAGGTCAAAAGGACTCTGGGGTGAGGTGTAGGTTAGGGGCATATGCCCCTTAACTGACATCAAGCAGGCCCAGGGGACCAGATATTGGGGATTACAAGAACTTTCCAGGAGCTCTCATTCCTGGCCTCTGGACAGGCCAGTCCCCAGAGAGGCCTACCTGTCCCAGTCCTCCAGCTGTCCACTCACTCCAGTGAGATGCTGGCACCCTGCAGCCCAGGAGGGGTGACAGGAGAGCCTCACCCCCAATTATCTGGTCATCAATATCTGCTTGGTGGCAGGCTTTGTGCCAGGACTCAGCGACTAGATCCTGGCCTCTGCCCTCGAGAAACTTCCAGTCTAGAAGAACAATTCCCTACCTGTAGTGCTGGCAACCTCAGAGACCTGAGAAACACCAATAGACATTTCAAGAACAACAGCCTAAGGGTCCCGTGATCAAAGATGTTTTAGGACATGTGATATTTCAAAACACTGCAGCAAAGAAACCTATCCTGCTTAGATCCAAACTTGCCAAAGTTGAGCAGCGAATACCTTTATTCCATAAAACACCTATCAAAGACTTCAAACACTATAAAAGATTCCAAGGCCTGTAGCTTGTCTGCCACTGTCCTGGGTGACTCAGTCCCCACCAGCCCTCCAGGGACAGGCAGGGTGGGAACGGCTGGCACTGGCTGGCTGGGCCAGGTGGGACACACATGTAGGGCCTTTGTACCTCCACAGGGCCCTCAGCCATAGAACATGGTACATGTTTAATTGTTAAGAGACATCCGAGTGCTCCTTCTGGAAAGGGCAGTGTGGTAAGGCAGGGAGAGGGAAGGGAGCAGGCCCATGCAGATGGGCCACATGGCTCCCATTCTGTTGCCTGTCTCTCTTGTGTCAGGTAAGGAATGCAGGCCAGGAGCAGGTAAGCTGTGGGCCACTGCCTTCGGGGATCTGGCTACTCAGCATTGGCCATGGACCAGCAGCGACTTAGGAGCTGGTTAGATGCAAAATCCCCTCCATGCCTATGAACTAGCAACTGCATTTTAAACAAAATCCCAGGTTGATTTGTATACAAATGAAAGCTTGAGAAGCTCAGTCCTAAGCCTGTGGTTCTCAAACTTCATTGAGCATTTGGAAACACCTACTGTCCGAGCTCTTAAATACCCCAGTGCCTCATCTGCCGGCACAGACAAGTGAACCAGAATCACTTGAAGTGTATATGATGCTTCTATCTGAGCTGCAGCCAGGCCCCAGGCTGCCGTAGTCCCCAGTTTCTGTGTGATTTTAAAAGCCCTTTTACATGCATCACGACTTTTGCTTGCTTCAAACTCCTGTGAGTGGCTAGGGAGGGTTATTTTTGAGCTTACTTAGCAGGAGCACAGACCAAGGGTCTACAAAGCAGTCTTGACAAGGGGCTTAGAGCTCACAATAAAAAGGTACAGAATTCTCATCCGCAGGTGGAGCCATCAGCCCAAATAGCAGATTTCAGGAATGATGTTTAGAGGGAGAGGCCAAGCAGGTTGTTATCGAGTGGAATGATCAGAGGCTTCCTGGAGGAGGGGGTATGCACCTAAGGCCAGGTGCAGGATCAGTGGGGGTCACAGCCCTCCCACGGCCCTGGACACCTCAGTGCAAGCCATGCCCAGAACTGGTGAGTGGTCTCCCGCCGGTACCTTGGAGGGCCCCAAGCAGACTCCATGCCATCACCCAGCCAGGAGCTCCTTCCTGGTCTCAGGAAGTCACATCCACTGACTGTCAGTTGCCAGGCATTGGGCTAAGAGGGTCCTTTTAGGAATGTTTCTTTCATGACAACTTGTACAAATTTTCCACAGTTGATGTTTTTATTCCCAAGTTATAGATGAAGAAACAGGTCCAGGGCCTCACCCGTGGCCCATGCAGAGCCAGGACTGAAGCCAGGCACTGACGCCAAAGCGGAGGCCTGTTCCAAGCAGGGCCTCAGAGACACATGTGCTGCTCAGCTCATGTTCAAGTTTAGCTCGTGCTCAGTTCAGGGTCAGGGTAGGAGACGCCCCAGCTCTCTGTGACCCCCTACGGCTGTCATCTCCCGAATCAGCTGGGTACTTGGCCCAAGCTGACCTGACTTTTGGTGCAGTTAATTGGGAGATGCATTGCTCCTGCAGTCCAGAATCCCTGAATCTGTCCTGGCTCCGCCCCAAACTCACTGGGGTTCAGGCCTGTCACTTCCTGTCTCAGGTCATGGTTACCTCAAAACAGGAGTTGGGCTAGCTTTTCACTGTCCTCTTCTCCAGCCTGAACCCTAGCCCCTCTCAGCGCCTTCCTTTTCTCAGCTGCCACCCCTCTCCTGCTTGCCTCTCCCCACCAGTGTCTACGGCTTGCCCCAGGGCTCTCCCCCATCTCTGCCTCCCCTTCCTTCTGACCGCACCCCTACCCCAGTTCCAGCCCTCCATAGGTGGTGACCTGGGCCTGAGGGCCACTGTGGAAGGAGGTGACACGCTGTTTGTATTCCAGCCTCTCCTAAGTTCCTCATGAACTCCAGCGCAAAAGACTCACTGACAGTCAGAGCTGGGGACCCCATTCGTGTGCCTGTCCCCTTTGTAGTGAGTACCTCTAATGGGATGTGGGGAGGGGACCCCAAAGTGGTCAAGGGGAGCCAGACTCAGCCCTTGTTTCTTTCTGGCTCCTAGTCAGTGACCTGGGAGTCAGGTCGGAGGTGAGGAAGGAGGAGGGTCCTCCCTGCCTGCAGAGCCCTCACCTGGCCACTGGGGGGCCGTTGTGCTCTGTGACTACACTACCCTCTAGTGGTCGCTTCTGGTACTGCAGGGAACCCACTTTGCCTCTCCCTAACCTCGCCTTGGAATTCAGGGAGCCTGCAACCTGCATAGACCCCCCCCCCAGGACTTTAGGATGCTCCTCCCCCAGCACCTGTCTCTGTACGTACAGCAGTGGTGGTTAGGAACTCAGGCTGCCTGTGGTCACATTCAGGCACCACCACTCACTAGGTGTTTGACTTGGGACAAACATGTTTATCTCTGGGTCCCAGTTTCCTCCACTATAAAATGGGAGCAGTAAAGCAACTTATCTCAATGATTTGTTCTGAGGATTCAAGGAATTAATGTTGAAAGCACAAAGATCGTGTCAGGCATCTGGAAAGCACCCAGTGTGAGTTCCCTGTTATGGTTGTTGTTTTTGTTATTATTATTAAAATCACCATCTTCCATGTAGGAAGTGGCAGAACCAGATTCAAACCCATCTGTAGGCAGTTCTCCTAACCGCATGTATCTCTGCAGGCATCTCTTTCTTTCCTTTCCTTTTTTAATATAATAAACCTGCTACTTTGGATATAAAAAACCAACCAGCCAACCTGTATCCAACCCCAAATTAGATGTTCTTAACTATCAGAGCATAATCGTGTCAATGATGGTGACAAAGTAACTCACCTCAATTGTTTACTGCATTCCCAGCTCTGTCCTTATGCTTTCATGAGTGAAGTTCTTGACTTATCACACTGCCCCGTGGGGCACCCTTAGCACCCCCATTTCACTCTGAGCCCAGCATCAAGGGTCTCATGGGTCTGGACAACATGGCCATGGGACAGCTGGACCGGCCTCTCCAACAGTTGCATCCAAGGTGACCACTGTTCTGGGCCAGGGAGACCACTGAGACCTCCCTGGACTCCTGCAGGGGCGTCCACGTCACCCCCACATGGGCCTGCCACAGAGCCAGCTATGCTTCCCTCCCCTGTTGCTGCTCTATTCTGGTCAGACAGACCAGATCTCACTGTGTTTTCAAAAATCTTACCAAGCTTCTCGTTGCTTACAGAATCAAATCCAGAAGTCCCTATAGGTACCTATGAGGGCGCCTGCCTTTTATGCCCAACTCCTCCCACCCAGCTTCCTCACCACTCCAGCAACCCAATCATTCCCACTTGGAGCCCCACACTTTACCATCCCCTCTCAACCTCAGAAGAGGTTGTTTCCTCATGAAGGGCTTCTCTCCTGTGCGTCTCCCCACTTTACCTTAGTCCAGTTCCAGTGTCTCACACCACAAATACCTTCCCACAGTCCCTTACTCCTGTTCTCCAGGCTGGCCCCCTGCCTGAGGTGACCTGGCTGAAGGATGGCTTGCCCTTGCCTAGAAGAAGTGTGACCTCCACTGAGGACGGCCTCACCCAGCTCCTGGTTCCCGCCGCCAGCCTCTCTGACAGTGGTCTCTACACCGTGGTGCTGAGGGACATGCAGGGCCAGGAGGCCACCTATCGTTTCCTGCTGAGGGTGGGAGGTGAGGCGGCAGGGGTGGAGCCCCCATACTGGCCAGGCCACACCCCGAGGCTCCCCTGGGCCTGGCCTCAGGCCTCAGCTGTCCTACCTGCTGGCTGTGCCAGGTAGCCATGCCACTAGCCCTTTCCGGGTTCTCGAAGAGGAGTTGTGGGACACGCAGGGAGAGTCCTTGCTCTGCATCTTCACTGTTGCCACCTCAGAAACTGAGGGACAGTTCGTCACAGTCCCTCACTGGCCCACAGTGACTCTTCATTTTGGGTCTGTGAGCAAAAGCAATCACCACGGCAGCCCCTGAAAAGCCTTGGAAAGTGTGTCTGGGTTCCTCGTGGGAGTTAAAGGTTGCCTTTCCCAGGTACCTCTCACACAGTCCCACCCCTGGAGAAGTTTCTGGAATATAGAACCGATAATCAGTGAATCTGGAAGATCTGTGACCTGGTCTTATCCCTATCTGCCCATGCCCTGTGTTGCTTTACCTACAAACCAAAGTGAACTAACATGACTCTTTTGGGTGACACTGACCACCCCCTCTGAGATAATTGTGACCCCTGAAGGAGCTCTGTGTGGCTCCAGGATCCCCACCCCTCACCCCCACAAGACTGCATTCCCCAGCACACTGGACTCTGGGGGAGGGGCGCAGCAGAAGCCCCATGGCCATTGCTGGGTGGCTGCTGGGTGGTCCCAAATGTGGCTCCCTGTGCCCCATTCTGCAGGGAGCCCCCAAGCGCCCGGGCCCATCCACCTGCAGGAGAATGTGCCTGGGACGGTGACGGCTGAGTGGGAGCCTTCTCCGGACGAGGCCGCGGGCGTCCCGCTACACTACAGAGTGCTGACCCGCTCCTCAGCGCTAGGGCCCTGGCACCAGGTGGCGGACCGTGTCCACACCAACCACTTCACCCTCCTGGGTGTGCTCCCGGGCCACGAGTACCACTTCCGAGTGGTGGCCAAGACCGAGCAGGGAGCCAGCAAGCCCTCGGACACCAGCCAGCCGTGGCGAGTCCTCCCACGGCAGCGAGGTGAGCTCTGCCCCGTCCCCCATCCCCCGTCCTCCCCTCCCACCCCCCCATCCCTACCAGCCATGACGGGGGCTGAGTGGCTGGTCTGGTGGGGGCAGCTCTGGCACAGACTCAGTGAGCCAGAGGCCAGCCGGCTCCCCCACCCACAGTCTCGCCTGTGCCCTGGGGTGGGTCCCACTAGGTGAGGAGAGCTGAAGGGTCATGAATGCCTGTCGGGAGCGCCAGGCAATACTTGTTAAATCAGTGATGGCAGCAGGCGAAGGAAGGCTCGTGTTTCTCTGAACACAAAGTGTATTTTATAGTCCAGTGGATATAAACCTTGAATGCTGAGAGTTGAAAAAGCAAGTTCTACAATTGGCTGCATGGTTTCATTTTTCCAAAACTAAAAATGTCTGGAAGTTGCCACATCAGAATGTTTGGTTATCCAACAGTAGTGATGTTTTTATTCTTTCTCCTTTGGATTGTCTATTCAAATTTGTCACAGTGAGTGTGTGTGTTCCCCTGAAGTTAAAAAAAAAAAAAGCAAAAATGTATTTTGAGTAAAGGATTAAAAATGAGGCAAGTGTTTGGGTTTAAGATGGCAGGAGGATGCAACAGGAAGGCCCAGGGATGTCCACTTGACACCAGGAGCTCCCTTGCTCACACTGACTCAGCCAGCCCTTCCCCCTCCGCCCCCTCTTACCCCCACAGACAGGTTCCCAGTCAGGGTTCGCAGTTACCGGGAGCCTGACCTGAGCCAGAAGCCCCGGTTCCTGGTGGGCCTGCGGGCCCACCTGCTGCCCAGGGGCTTTCAGTGCTGCATGAGCTGTGCCGTGAGGGGCTGGCCCAGGCCGCACATCACCTGGTTCAAGAACGGCCAGAGCCTGGCGGGAAACCCCGAGGTGTACAGCACCGACGTCCTGGGCGTGTGCTCCCTGGTCATCCCCAGCGTCTCCCCCAAGGACAGCGGCGAGTACAAGGCAGTGGCTGAGAACACGCTGGGCCAGGCGGTCAGCACGGCCACCCTCATCGTCATGGGTAAAGATGTCTGCCCTGGCGGGGGGAGGGAACGAGAGCCACAGCAGGGGCCATCGGTCCTCAGGGAGCTCTTAGGGACCTGTCTGCCCTAGAGTGATGGCATGGTGGGGTGGGGGTCTGGACCTGGGGTTCTCCAAGTGGCTCTGTCTGTCATATCACCTGCCCTCACTCTGCCGTCTGTAAGAGGCTACACTGAGCAGATCCGGGGGGACTGGCTCTCAGGGAGGGCTGATCCTGAGCCCACCTTCCCACGGTGGCCTCGTAGCACCTTCCAGACGAGCCAGAATGCCTTCCTCTGTGGTGCAGCTTCACGAGTATTCAGTCCAGGCATTTTGTATCCCCAATGCCCATTCACTCCTCTGTGACCTTTCAGTAAAGCAAATAGCCTGTTTGCTCAAAAACACCATTCGCCAAGAGTACTGAAAACATCTGTTTCAGATAGAAAAAAAAGTACTCTCCAAACCTTTTTAATGATTCAGAATGGACCTTGGTGTACAGGTGGCTCCTGTGCGGGGCCTGGTGTCTCTTCTGTCTGCCACACTTGGGGACCTGCGAAGCCATCTCAGCACCCCAGCCGGTGCCTGGAACCAAGGGGTGTCAGAGGTGGTGGGGACTCCGGGGGCCATGCAGAGGCTCAGACTCAGAAAGCAGGACTGGGGCCAGTGCCCTGAGGGCACAGCCTCTAGGCTGATCCCCATACTCGGGGTGTGGGGTGGGGTTGGCTGCCCTCTGAGACCAGCAGGAATGTTCCAGCCTTGTGTCTTTGCAGAACCCAACTCCTAGCCCTGACTCCCCGGTGGCCCTGACTGGCCCAGCCACCAAGAGGACGGATCTCGGGGAGGTCAAGTGCGGAAGGATGGAGGACACCAGCAGTGGCTGCCACTCAGGGGAGTTGGCAGTGAGGATGCTCTGCCAGGAGGGTGTGGAGTCTTAGGGGAAGAAAAAATTGGGGGCACTCAGGCTTAGTCCCAAGCCGAGTGGCCATGGGGGTGACAGCATGCTCCCCCACCCTCCCTGTGGGTGCAGTTCTTCATCATCCCAGGAGATCCGGAGAGCACTTCTGTAGAACAGGCCAAGACCTCGTTTTCCTGTGTGGGGTGGCCTAGAGGTTGCACAGGTAGAGCTGGGGCTGTGCAACCACAGAAGAAGCCCAAGGCCTGGGACCTGGGGGTGGGGACAGGGCGGGGCTGGCATGTGTGCTGGGGGTGCTTTCTGTACCTTTCTTCATTAAAACATAGCAACACAGATGTACCACTTGCAGATGAACTTGGGACTGGTGAGTGGGGAAAAGATCCCCAGTGCAGAGCTTCCAGCCAGGCTCCTGCTGGGAGGGTGAGGGGTTCTGGCCCAGAGAAGCATTGAGTCCCATGGGGTCCTGGGGCAGGAAAGCAGGGACTCATTTGAGGGAGAGTAAGAGCAGAACCAGAGGCACCTCTGGGTGGGGGGTAGCACAGGGTCAGGATCACCCAGGACGGACACTCAGGCCTGTCGCTCTCTAGGCCAGAAAGAATCTGGGTCCAGAATGTACAGTGGGGGCTCATGGGGGAGGGGCTGAGAGCCATCAAGTGAGAGGTATTTGGCCCTCTCTTGGGCTCTGGGGACCTTGTCTGCTCCTCAGTCCCCTCTGGCCTGCATCACAACAGGAAAGGTGCCTCCCTTTCCAGGGAAAGGCCCTGTGTGATGCACCCCTTTTGTCCTCTCTCACTGTCCAGCATGGCCCCCATCTCCCAGACTCTCAGGAAATACTTGCAGGGGCCAGAAGGGAGGAGGAGCTCTCCCAGTGTGAGCCCCAAGTCCTGGCTGGTGGCCCACAGAGCTGTAACACAGACAGCTCTTGACTCCCTCTGCTGGGTCCTGCTTCCTAGCCACTCCCCACATACACACACTGGCCCCCCACTTGCAGGTGCAGGAAGGAAGGATAGATGTCTCAATACACTCTGAGAAGTAGGGCAAGGGGACCCAGGGAAAGTTTTCTGTGGGCCACTGGCCAGGGCTAGGAGCTGGGCTCTGTGGACACAAGGTTGGAACATTCCTGCTGGTCCCCTTGGCAGCTGCCCCCACCCACACACGGCTCCCCCTTCCCCAGGGCCCCTCTTCCCGTCTTGCCCGGCAAGTATTTCCTGAGTCTGGGAGATGGGGGGAGGGGCATGCTGGGGAGTGAGAGAGGACAACAGGGGTGCATTGCACAGGGTCCTTCCCTGGAAAGGGAGGCACCCCTCCTGTCGATAACTGACCATCCAAAATAGAGTCCCCCAGAGGACACTTATCCCCAAGTTCCTGGCGCATGTTCAAAGGGGAGACGCCTCACACCCTTCTCTCCCCATGTCTGTCTCCCAGAGTGTCCCAGCAAGCCCACCTGCCTTCCTGTCTCATGACTTTCCCTGCAGCTCCGTTCCTTCCCCCTCTAAGTGGGGCGGGGACATTCCTGCTGGTGGAGCGGGGCACCACCCCCTTTCAAGGAGATGCCTGGGTTACAAAAGCTGTCTTTTGAGGTAGTAGACAGGAGCGTGCTGGCACCCAGGGACTGGGGGTTAGGTGTCCTTGGCACCAGGGAGGGGGTTCACTTGCTGCTGTAACTGGGGTACACTGGCAAGGGATAGGGAGCAGCCACTGACATTTTCATTCATTGGCACACAAAGCCCCTAATCCCTTGCCAGTCCGGTAGACCCAGTCTGAGCATGAATTTAAAGATTTGGAGACTGGTTCTGCTTCTACTGGTGCAGGTTGTGTGACTTCAGCAGCTTCTTTAACCTGTCTGTCCCCGATTCCTCATTTGTTAGGAAGAATCCTAGTTGCCTAACCCACCTTTCAAAAGATTTCCTCCTATGTTGTAGAGAAGTTTTGTGGTTTTTGTTTTCACCTTTTTCACTTAACTCTATCCATTTTGAGTTGTGTTGTATATGGTATGAATAGTTTATAAGGAATATAAGTTGTTGTTGTTGTTGTTTTTAAAGATTTACTTATCTGTGCATACAGAACTGGGGTACAGGCCGGAGTAGCGGGGTGGTGAGAAGATTCACCAGAGTCAGAGTGGGAGCAGAATAGGCAGATGGATGAAGTACACTGTTGAGGGGAGCAGGTGGTGAGACAGGAGAGGTCTGCTACGCCATGGGGGTCACCTCTGTGATGGGGATTGAACTCACATGGAAGGGGCCATGGCCAACTTTGCAGTGCTGTGCTTTAACCCACTGTGCCAGGGTCAGGGAATATAATTTGTAGGGAAGTTAAGATATATATTTTTTTCTGTTTCGATTATTCAGTTAATCTAACATCATTTAGAAAAAGATTTTTCTTTCCCCATTAAATGACCTTAGAACTTTTGTTGAAAATGAGTTGATCACATGTGTGTGAGTCTGTTTTTGAATTCTGTCTTTACTACTCCTTTTCTGGAAAAGTTTTCATTGGATTGATATAGTATCTTCCTTAAATGCTCGGTTGCATTTACTAAAAGAAAGCTGCTGGGCTAGAAATGTTCTTTTTGGGAAGGCTTGAGCTACGAATGCAATTTCTTCAGTAGGAAGGCTGTTCTGGAGTTGATTTCTTCTGAAATGAGCTTGGAAAATTGGCGACTTTCAGAGAATTTATCCATTTTACCCAGGTTGTTGAATCTTTGGGCACGTTTATAATATTCCTCTTGTATCCTTTTACTATTCCTAGGGACCCAGTGACACTCCTCTTTTGTTTTTGAAGTTGGTAATTTGTGTCTTTTTAATTCTTACTCAGTTTGACTTCTGATTCTTTTCAACCAAATTTTGGCTTTATTTTCTGTTTTCTATTTCATTGATTTCTGCTCTTTGCTATTTCCTTTCTTCTGCTTAATCTGGGTGTAACTTGTTCCTTTTCTTCCTAGGCTGGTAAGGTGAAATATGGAATTATGGGATCACTGATTTTTTTTGTTTCCCTTTTAAAATATATGTACTTAATTATTTTTACATCGTTCTTCATTTTGTGCATTTTTTTTCATCAAAAATCAGTGGTGGGATCATTGATTTTAAATCTTCATTTCTTGATCACACATTTAATACTGTTGAATTTTCCTTTAAACTGATTCCACCATATCCCATGCATTTTGATATGTTGGGTTTTAGTTTTTTATTCAGTTCAGGATTTTTCTGCTATAACTTATGATTTCTTTTTTAAACCCATGGGTCATTTTGTATTTTGTATGAGTTATACAATTTTGAAATAGGAGGGGTTTTCAAATCAAGCTCCCGATATTGATTTCTAGTTTTTATTGTAGTTTGATAACCTACTCTTCGATTTTAACCATTTTAAGTCTAAAGAAACTTGTTTCATGCCCAGAGTGTGGTCTGTCTGTTCCCTATCCATTCCATTGTTCTCTGTGCATTGGAAAGAAAGTGTGTTGTGTTCCTGTTAGTATAGTCTTATGTAAATGCCAGTTAGGTCAAGTTGGTTGAAGGTGTAGTTCAAGTCTTCTGTGTCCTAATTGGTTTCCATTCTAATTGTTCTCTCAATTACTGGAAGAGGCGTGTTAACATAGTCAGCTAAATTACGGATTTATCGAGGGTGTACAATATCTTTAGTTTACCTCCACTTACCTTCAAATATCCTACTTCACATATAATTTAAGTGAAATACACTTCCATCTGTCCATCTTAGTTTGGGTGTAAGTTTTTGTGCTGGGCTTTATTGTTGTGTAATACCCTTTACTTCTGTTAATGTATATAAAGTACAGCCCTCAATGTATTGCTATTATTTCTTTAGCCACTCAATTATCTCTCAAACATATTTTAACTGAGGAAAAATGTCTTCATAGTCACCATTTTCAGTACTCTCATTCCTTTCTATAGATCAAAATTTCCATTTTCATTCCATCTGGAGTCATTCATTTTTGCCTAACGAGCTTCTTTGAACATTTCTTGTTTTGCAAGACTCTTAGCAACATATTTTGTTAATTATTGTTTGTCTGGAAAAAAATCTTTGTCTCCACTTTATATTTTCTTCAAGGTCTAACACAGATCTTTATTCAATATTTCATT